TGCCCTTGGAAAAAGTCCCTCCCCAGCTCTCCTGGAGCCCCTTTGGGGACTGGAAGGTCCCGGGAAGGAGCACAGCCAGGCGTTCCTCCCCACCACCCCAGCTAGGGGGAAGCCCTAACCCCACGCGGTGACCCGCTCCCTCCCCGCCGGCCGGCCGGGGCATGGATGGGGAGGGAGGAGAGCAGAACCGGGACCCCGCGTCTCATACCTGCCCAAACTCATCCCACCGGGGTGCGAGCTCCCACGCCGCTCTCTCTCTGCCTCAGTTTCCCCGTCCGCACAACCAGCTCTCCACCTCACACAGGGCTGAGAGGACGACCCAATACTTCACTGCCGGGTTATTTTCATTATCATTATTAAGAAAAACAGAGTAGCTGGAGGCAGAAAGGGTCACTACGCCGCAAACGGACAGACAGACGGCCTGCTCCGGTCCCAACTGCTTTGGGGTTTTGTGTACCATAGGTTTGTTGCTTATTTTAACAAAGGCACAAAACCCACAAAGCTCTCAGTAAGCATTTAATTAAAACTTAATTACTATAAATACGTTAAATGTGCAAAGCTAGCAGGTGCAGCCAAGAGAAAGAAGCCCCCAGCAGTGTTTTTCACACAGGTTGTAAATCCTCCCTTTTAAAACTGATGTCTTTCCAGGAGAATTAAGAAACCGCTTCAAAATAGGTCTGGAAACCCAGAAGAGCTACAGAGACTGAGAACGGGACAGAGCGGGAGTCGCTCCCGCTGAAAGACGTCAACGACAATCGGGCCTTGACGGAAACGCAGCGTTACGGCACAGCAGCGCAGACCACGTACAGCGAAGTTGTACCTTATTACGCCGCGACTAAAACCAGCGTCGCTGCCCCACCAGCCACGGTAAAGCTACGGGAAATCCCCCCAGCAATGGGAACTGCAGCCTAAGAGCTTCCGTCGCTGGGGCAAACGCCGTCCCGGCCCATCTGCCTTTCGCCCAAACTGGGTTACAACCTGTAGTATGGCAGAGCCGAGGAATTAGGAGCTGGGCTCCCTCTCACCCGAAAAAACAGAACCGTAAATGACTCTATCCACGCTTCAGGACGGGTCCGAAAGGAGGTAATAAGCCAATTAAAAGAAGAAATAAAAGGAACGCAATTCTTGCAACGATATTTTTATAACATCTAGGTTACTTCAATGAAGTGGTTTTAAAACACAAACACCAAAATTAGACCCCGAACCGAAGTGTTTGGCCACTTCCCTTTATTTTTCCATACCTATGACCGCAGGAGTCTCTGGGGGCCGGACGTGTGGGCGCCGTGTGCCCCGGGAGTCGGCAGGGCCAGAGGGCGCCCGGCTGCTGCCCAGCCAGACACGGGTACAGGGACACCAGAAAAACAGAAGTAACTCCTCCCGGCCACCGGGCAGAGACCAGAGCGCATCCCAGGCGTCCCAGTAACCCGGTCCCTCTCCACTAGATCCCAAACTGCCCCGGTCCCAGCACGGGCTGGGGATGGAGGGATGGGGGCAGCGCTGAGGAGAAGGACCTGGGGGTGTTGGTGGGTGAGAAGCTCCCCATGAGCGGCAACGTGCACCCACAGCCCAGCGACCCCCGGCACCCCGGGCTGCATCCCCAGCAGCGTGGCCAGCAGGGCGAGGGGGGACTGTGCCCCTCTGCTGCGCTCTGCTCTGGGGAGACCCCCCTGCAGTGCTGCCTCCAGCTCGGGGGCCTCAGCACAGGAGAGACATGGACCTGGTGGAGCGGGGCCAGAGGAGGCCCCGGAGATGCTGGGAGGGCTGGAGCCCATCTGCTGGGAGGACAGGCTGGGAGAGTTGGGGGGGTTCAGCCTGGAGAAGAGAAGGCTCCAGGGAGACCTTAGAGCCCCTTCCCATCCCTA